CTGAATCGGCTCGGCTGAGCCTATNTCCCGGGATGTCTATGCTATATTGAGTAGGCTGTAAATAACTGCCCGGTACGGCCCGCGCGGTAGCCTTCGGCTAGTACGCCAGCTAGGATAAACCTGCCGACGGTGAATTCTTGTAACCTTGAATTTTCCGAGTACACTCGACGGAGAAAGTACTGCCGCAGTGTACAAGTGCAATTCTGACAGACTTGGACTCGGTCCCTATACGTGGCACTCATCGGACGGTGCCAGCCCCAGCCAGCGGAAAGTTCGGGACCCCGAAATGTACCTAGTTAAAGTGCGCTTTTTGACAACGGGATGGTCAATGTATTGTCCAACCGCGACCTTGCCCCTTCCCTCGGAGACAGAGTTTTCGCCTGCTTTTGGCGTCGACGACGCGGGAGGCGAAGGCTGCTTTACTCCGGTTGACTTTGCCCAGCTCGGCGTCGGAGACGTCGACCGGCTCCGTGACCGACGCCCGCCGGGAGGCGGGGTGCCGAGGGGTACAAGGGAAGCCATCTGCAACAAGGTTTAAAACAATTCGTAAATATCAATTAGATGAGCCTGATCTGAAGATCGGGGTACTGATAATATCAACTCAATAACTTTTAACCGGAGGATCGAAAAGGGTCGTCACTGTACTCGATCCTTCGATAGGTATTCGCCGCGCCGCGGTGAATCTACAACCCCCAGTAATACAGCTAAACAATACCAAAGACGGACCACGACGAACTTGTGTACTACGTGAGTCTGATTGTATCACCCACATATCGACCACGCATACACCGCGACGCGGTGAATTTGCTACCACAGAAACGATAGCAAAAGACATTTTTTCGGAGTAAGCATAATGAGCAGATAGTCTCCTTGGATGCATTCCTATCCACCGCGCCGCGGTGAAATTACAAGTCTCTGCAATCCTCGAAAATTAGGGTTTTTAAAAGAAAAAACCCTATGGTAACGGTTGCGCTTACCGTTACCGCCTGGTAGCCTGCAACCGCCGCCGCTGGTTTGCGTCCTACCGCGCCTAACTCCCTCGCTCCTACACTGCAATGACTGATTGATGGATTGATGGGTGTGACGGTTGTGTTGCCATGGGACTCAACCGGGCACTTGAGTTACATCCCTTGAATCAATAATTATTGGTCTTATTATTCGATTGAATATGAATAATATAGCATTTATTGAATCGTAATTTAATATAATATGAGGTCGTCTTTTAAAATACCACGTCGACAGCTCCCATCCATTTAGAGGGCTAAGATTTTATCGACAAAGGATGTGAAGCCGACTGTAATACCGGACGAGTGTAAGCGGATTCAAGCCGTGACACAAAAGGTTTGGATGTTATTGCGCGTATTAAGCACCCACGTAATATGCATGTTGCAGACAAATGTCGCGACAACCACAACCGCATGAGCGTCCGATTCGAATCGAATCCCCGTTCCAAACAAGTTCTGTGACGAAGTACCTATTATTGGACTTGTCATCAGCCTCTTTATATCTTATTGCTCGCACTTGGTCACGTAGAATCAACGCCTTTGCTTAATAAAAAGTACACGAATTGATGTGTGCCGGATTGGCCGCCCAAGCGTCCCAGTGCCGGGTCGGAGCGCCGGAGTGATGTCCTTCCCTGTCGTTGGTTGAAGTGTTATGCGAGGTGTCTCTGCCGCACCGCTGCCTCTCGATCGCTCTTGCAACTGAAGCTTGTCAATGCCATGCGCCACAGTCCCCCCGTCGTTGCTGCAGCGGCAGGTGGACCACGCGGGTCCGAGCAAGATAAGGTCCACGGTCTACGTCACTGTGAACCCGAAGAACAAGAAGGTAAGTAAACACTTCTGGAATTTTATAGCCTTGAAAGTACATTGAAGGTCGTTCGCTGTCGAGTCTGGTCCTCTGTGAAAGGTTGAATCGGATACTTGTAAACAATTTGACTTGTTAACACAGAGGATTGTTTCTCTACAAGCATCTCGTTTAATGACTTGTAAAAAGTGTTCTGTTTTTGCGAAGATGTAAAGGTGGTGTATCCAATCTTCGACGTTCCTCTTAAAGTATTGAGTGTTTGTATGCCGCAGGGTGAGATCGAGTACCTGTACGGCTGCCTCGGAAACACGCTGGGGGTCTACTACGTCACCATCGACGACAGCGCCAAATCATCGGTGCTCACTTCCAGCGGTGTGACCGAGACGCTGAAGGGCGCGGCTTTTCGCGCCGTGCTGAGGAAGAATGGCAGCTTCTTGGTGAGGACCCTTTTTGTCTTGGTTAGCAGCTTGATTGTTAGTTTCTATTTCCTGAGTGTGTCTGTAACGTTCGTCAACAGCAGGATTTCACCGCGCCGCGGTGGATGCTAGAAGGTCCATCACCGCTCCGCGGTGTATTTCAGAAGGTCATTCACCGCGTCGCGGTGAATTGTCTATAGTTGCCAGACTGCTTACAGTAGCTTGCCAGCGTCCAGTCTCGTTGAATGGCCGAGGAACGATTTCACCGCGCAGCGGTGTTTGGTCCTTTGCGTTGCCATCGTTTGTACTATTAAAGCAACGTACAAATTCTTGCTTTCTATGATCACCGCGCCGCGGTGTATCTTCGTTTTTGAATATTGACAAGTTTGTTCACGCCTTGCAGCCCTTGACGTGGCCTGACTGGGAGAAGGGCGGAAAGGGTCTGCCGCTGCCTGTGGTGCAGTCCCTACTCGGAGGACTGGCGAAGAAGAAGGGGACGGCGGCTGTGATCAACGCGAAGGGGGGCCGGGAGGTGTCGGCCCTGTCCAAAGCGGGCATGAACGTCGTCGCCGCCTTCTCCGAGGGCAAGAGCGAATACCCCGGGCTCCTCGTCGATTCGAAGTCCGGCCACAGGTTCGGATTTCCTGAGATGGAGGCGAGCACCGTGGGTCCGGTTGTGCAGGAGCAGCCGGTTGGGCAGGAAGAGCGAGAGGCGGGGGGGGAGAAAACGACTGATTCGGGAGGGAAGAAGGGAGGTGCGAAGGGTTCGGAGCTGGCCGCTACGGAGAAGCTGGCGAGAAAGAGGAGCCGGAGGGCAGGAGAGCGTGTGATCGAGTCATCCCCGGAGCCAGAAGACGAAGGAGGAGATGCGCAGACCTCAGCAGAGGGGGAGGGGCAGGCAAAAGCGCCGGAAGCTGCCGAGGGAGAGGCAGGGAAGGGGCAGCTGTCGGCAGAGACGCTGGGCGTCGAGAAGGCGCAGGGGGCGGCACAGGGGGAGGGCAAGGAAAAGGGTGTGGACAAGGAGGAAGGGGAGGGCCAGGAGAAGGGCCAAAAGGGAACGGAGAAAGATGGGGATTCAGGCGAGGGAAAGGAGAAGGGTGGTGGGGTAGGGGGAGAGGGTGGAGTGGAGGGGAATGAGGAAGGGGGAGAGGGGAATGAGGAAGGGGGCGAGGAGGGGGGTGAGGAGCCGGACCCGGGCCTGGAATTCGGAGACGCGCAGTTCGAGCAGTACTTTGCTTCGCTGCCCTCCGCGAAGGACGGGGCCGGGGGCAAGACTGAGATGGGGGCGATTGGCGGGGGAGGTGGTGCTGCTGGCGGGCTCGGTCCTGCTGCGGTTGTTACCTCGCCGCTTGTCACACCCCTGACGGTCACCCCGGTTAGCTCCGGCACCCCTCAAAGCAAGACGTCCAGAGACGGGGCGAGTCTAGAAACAGGGGCGAGGGACGACATGTCAAGGTTGTCGGAGTTGGAGGCGGCGGCGGCGGACGAAGGGCGCCTGCTGACGGACGAAGAGTCGAGGGAGCTGACGACGCTCAAGAGGGCAAAGAGAAAGAGAGAAGAGGAGGGGGCGGAGGAGGAGGAGATGGCAGGGGGGAAGCATGCGAAGAAGGTGGGAGGGAGGGGCGCACGAGAGGAGTACCTCGCGCAGGTCCGAGCGGCTAAGGAGCTGGAGGCTGCGGAGGCGGAGGCAATTGCGGCGGCGGGTGGGGCAACGGGAGTTTCAGGCAAGTCGGGCAAAGGGAAGGGGGGTTTGACGGCGGAGGATCAAGCCGCAATATTTGCGGCGTTGCAGGAGGACCAGAGGCCCCGACGTGGCAAGGGCAAGAAGTAGTGGGACAATGGTTGAGGGTATTTTGTATGATGATTGTAAATTGGGTTCGTTGCGGGGGCTAGGAAAAGAGAGGAGTACACTGCTCAGCGTGTGGAAACTGTGGAACAGCCTATGAATGTTTTGTCATGAAGTCGTCTACAATTCCATCTCGTCTTGTGTGGGTTCGGCGCAATGCGCGTTTGCTGATATGTGTTGAGTATCATGACACGTAGAACTCTTCCCACGGGAAGTCCTTGTGATGCAGACGCCGAGAGTACGACTTTCTCGCCTAGTGAATTGGGAACAACAAAACAGTGGTTGCATGATAAAGCTGCGGAAGCAGGAATAGAGGTTTGAGGTGTGGCATGAAGAATTGCGTGCACTGAGGGAGAATGTGTGTGATGGCGCCCGACCTACTTTTACCGGTTGCTATTAGCCTAGAAGGCCAATCGTGGTCTAGTATCGAAGAATGCACGCCGAACACGTGAAGATTCTAAGACTATGCGTCATGTATATATATTTGTATGACATGCAGTTGTTACCGGCCGTACTTCGGGTCGGACCGCGGATTCGCCTCAGGCCCTCTCGAACGACTCCAATTCGCCTCCGCCGAAACGGCGTCAGCCCCAGGTGCCGGAACCGGTCCCGAGCGACTCCGGTTCGCCTCCACCGAGAGGGCGGCCGGCGCCGGAACCAGTAAAGGGAAAGTTGGAGCGGGACGATGCTGGTTACGTACGCAGCGAGAGTTTGCAAACGGCGCTGGATTGGTGGCAATTTCGGCATCCGAAGTTTCGGTGCACAGCCTTTTACATGTACGAGGCGAAGTTCACGGTGAAGCTGTATTGGAAGTGCCTGAAGCGGTTGATAGAGGAGGACTGCGACGGGGTGGGCACGGTGCTCAATATCGGACGGTGTCACTGGGTGGCTATATACGTGAGCAAGAAGAGCCGGACGATCGAGTACTATGACCCGTATGGTACGGAGCCGAGCGAGCGGGTGCGGTCAGTGTTGGAGCGGATCGGGCGAATGGTGGGTACTAACCTCAACGAATTTGGCGGACGGTTCCCAGTGGAGGTCAGCTCGGCGCATCACCAACATGATGTGACGGAGTGCGGGTTGTACTCCTTGGCGTTTCTGTACGAGAGGGGGGTGACGGGGAAGAGTTTTTTTGCGTGCACAAGAGGGTCGGCTATCGGTCGGAGCATGCTGGATATATACTGCAGAATGTGGTTTGCATGATTGGCGGGAAATTTAGTTTTCTTTACACGTTAGTGACAATAGATTAGCACGAAAACACACCCGGTTAGATTGAAGATAGGTTAGCATCCATGTCATGCTGTTGAGGAGAAGATATATGAATTGTGTCACACCAACTGTAATTGTCGTGCAATGCAAATCGATTTAGACAACGCTATGTTTGTGCGTAACTTGAAAGTAATGCATGGCAACGTGATGCATACAATTAGACACATTGAAGATGACTTCAAACCCTCTTTCATGCGCACGCATAGTTCATAGTTTCATTAGTGGATGGTGTTGCCGTGTGATTCGACGTATAGCACTAGGTTTTCGACTTTGCATGCAGCGACGAAAAATGAAAGAGGAGGATGCGTGGTACGTACTATTAGAATGCATAGGGATAAAAGCGTAGTACAACTTACTCAGAAAAGTGAGCTTAGTGGGTGCGCACGTGTAATGTGATGCCATGAGATGGTGGTGTAAATGATTCTGACGATGCGGGAAGTGGCGCACGGGAGTTGGACATGCAACAGGCATCAGAAGTTGCAAACTTGGAGGCTCGCATGATTGGACAAAAAAATTGAAAGCTCTGTCACGCACGAAGATGCGTTGTGTGGACGCGCTTGTCGTACGTAATGGCAACGAAGACTTGGCAAAATGAATGCTCATGGGTTGCAAGGGGCGGAAGAGAGAACACGTTGATCTGGATCATGCAGTGAAGCCGGAATTGGAGATGAGTTGTCGGGGTCGTGCATGAGTCGACGCCGAGGATCCGAAAACATCGACGCACAAAACAATCGAGGTAAGCGTGTGCGTACCGTGACGTGCTACGTGATGCCATCAGATCATAGCAAAGAGGTTGCGAGTTGGGCAAGAGAGATTACACAGTCGAACAAGATTACGTACAGATGTAATTGGAGTTGAGTACTCGGGATCGTGCATGGGTCGACGCCGGGGATCTTAAAACTTCGACGCGAAAAAAAACGAGTTTGGCGGTTGCGCACTTGCTCCGTGATGCCATTGATTGATAGAGTAGATGTTGCATGGTGCGCTTGAGTTATCACGTCAAATCCGGTACATGTGAAGTTGTAATTGGAGTTCAATACTAGAATCGGAGGCGCGCATGAGACGACGCAAAGGAATTGGAAGGTTTGTCGGGCGCAAAAGTGATTTAAGTGGATGCGCACATGGTACATGACGCCATCCTCTGGTGTGCGAATGTAATGCTGAAAGGCTGCAAGGGACGCACGAGTCACATCATGAGATTCGATATAATGAAAAGCGTAATTAGATATGACTTAGTCTGTGCGCGGATAGGTTGACGCTAAAATATAATGCTTTGTTGTGACAGATGGGCTATGGTTAAGTCTAACCGCACATCGTCACCAGTAAGTTAACCTTCGGGTTTGCGAGTACGCCAGGTTGCGGCGTATGAGCACAGTATTGATGTGACGTAGTTAATGCAAGTCTGATTAATTAC